TCTCTCTCTCTCTCTCTCTTCCTAATCTTAAAATGTGAGGAATTCACACGTATGCTACAGGATACATACCTTTTACTGACACATAATACTGGAAATAAAAAAAAAAAACTAAAAAAAAAATAAAAAGATTATAGATATCTATTATAATTTGCGAAAAATAATATATATATGTAATTCCGTTTATATATGACATAAACATCTTTGGACCAACTCTTGTTTGGTGTATCAAATCGTTACAAAAAAGTCTTGCTTCGTTCTAACGATAAGCCTCATCACGTTAGTTTTAATTAATCAGTTTTATCATAATATATATATATACTCGATTTCAAATTGAGTCTCTTTGTTTTGAGCCACATTCTATATTACTTGTCCGGTTTATATATACGTATATTCTTTCTTTGATTTATCCTTAAATACATCAGCGTTATTTTATTTATTTTGTTTTTAGCTAATTGTATGAAAACATTAGCTCTCATAGGATAATAATCCTTGATGATTTTGTTTTTTCTCCCATTGTTATTGTTCATAGATAAATTCGGTACGCAACTTCTTTTCTATCTTTCTATTATTGTAAATCTACTGTACTTTTACGTAGGCGTGTTATTTGCATTTAAAGAATGTGAAGTTTTACTTTTCTTTTTTTCTTTTCTTTTTTTTTATTTCTTTTCTTCTTTTTTTTGCTTCTTTTTTTTATTGAATAAATATAACTTTTCTATATCGATAACAACTACGCGAGAGATAGATAAAGTATAGAAATTATTGCGATACGTTTAGGAGGAATAAAAAAGAAAAAAAGCATAAATTTTTATGCGTAATCCTTTAAACGGCTATTCTAAGTGCATCGAACATTGAAAAGTTATTTGTAAACAATATTACATTAGACAGATAGATAAGAGAGATAATTAGTCTTTAAAAAGGTACTAGACAAAGTATAAGAAAAAATCAAATCACATACTATATATTTTACTAGTTTTTTCATTACTTTTTTTTTTCTCTTTTTTTGTTCACAAACTTACGCACGCTCGTATGCGTTTGTTAATGTTTTAATATATTTAAACATACATTTACGTAACTACATCACACATATATGCGCACATATACATGTATGCATTTATTTTTTAATTCTTAATCTTTTTTTTCTTCCTTGTTAAAGTTCCTTATATTCAATTTTTTTTTTTTACTGTATAGATTTTTCTCTTTTTTTTTTTTTTTTTTTTACTTGCGTTTCCCGTCTTCGAATTTTTATCCACATTTCTTGCACCCAAATAAAATTATAAAACAAAAAATAATAATAATAACGGCAAACTTATTGCAAGGTAAAGGGTTATTATAAGAGAAAATTAAAAGAAAAGAAAGAAACAAACAAAACCATGCGTAAAAACTAGGATTGAGAGGTGAGAGGAGGGGTCCAATCATCTCGACATATCATTAATTGCTCAATGATAGGAAGCATTGTTTGATTCTAGCATTTATAATATTTCTTTTGTAAACTTGTATCGAATGTATCTGTAGAATTATATACGTCTCATGTAAATTCTGATTTATCAATTTTAACAGTCCTATTAAATCGAATATTGGAATAAGCACATATAGAATATTTCTGTATTATTAACTCATATTTTTTTTTTTCTTTTTCAGACATAATCATAAAAAACCCTTTCGATATTTTCTGTTTATTTTTGTTATTTTTGTTTTTATTGTTGCCGTATCTTTCTTCTAGAAAAAGCAATAAATTATTGCCCCTATTTCGTTATTTCCCTTGGCTTCGACATAATACTCACATGCGTACAAACAGTACTGTAATCGTTACTATTCTTAATTAATCATTATCATTATTATTATTAAGTATAGCTTAAAATGGAGTGATTAGAAGTTCAAGAACAAGGGCATGCTTCAGAGGAAGGAGAGTCAATATTGACATAATGATTGTATGTATGTATGTACTTACGTAATTACTACGATTCAATAAACAAATAAAAAATATGTTGAACTGCTTACAATATTTCTTATTATATTTTTAATAAATATATGTGCCGATCTGATTTTCAGTAGCAATATTTTTCATAATCCTTCTATGATAATTTTGATATTTGATATTAGAATGAATTTTATTCATTTTTAGCGAAAAAAGATTTTAAAAGGGGTTTTTGGTTTTTTATTATTTATTTATTTATTTTTTTTTTTTTTTTAGTTTTTTCTCCTTTTTTCTTTTAGATGGGCTGGTCAATGAAACTCAACCTTGATGCTACTGAAAACATCATGAAACTATTTTAACATGCCTTACGCGCACAGAGATACAAACTTTCTATTATTTTTTATTAGCGATAACACACGTAAATATGAAAAATCTAATCTTGTGATTGTGACTTAATTAATGATATATGCAAAATACATTGTGTGTGTATTTTTTTTTTTTTTTTTTATTGAAAACTATAATTTCATTGAAACCTAAATTAATTTATTTCAAGTTTTACAGTAAGACGTAACACTAAATTTAAACATATAGTTAGTATTAAAAAATCGCAAAAGAAATAATGTATAACTAAATGAACAACCTAATATATGAGCAGTGATTAGTATATTAATATTGACACAAATTCTTTCTCGTTACAGATAAATTACGTAAGGAGAAAGGAGCGGAAAATGATAAATTAAAAAATTAGTAGTATCATGGACCAACCCAGGCATATTGATTATGAATATTTTATAAATATATTGTATCTTTTTGAGTAAATAGTAGATAAACATATTACTACTCGAAAATAATAGTCAATTGTGTTTTAATTGACGTAAAACTTATTTTTGCTACTTTCATATAAGAAGCAATGAAATAATTAAATAATATGACACGCATGGTATCGTAATTTTCAAATAATCGGGTACCAAATATTCTTCCGCTGATGTTTTAAAGATCCATCATTTCATTATATACGAAACCGTTAAACATATACTGTTGTTGCTGTTCAAAAGGGAATCCATTAATTTGAATGAAATTAAATTATTGATAAATTCATCTAGTTGTTTAAAAGAACGTGGCAAGACTTGCTGTAATCGAAAAAAAGAAAATTAAACAAAGAAATCATATCCCGAGCATAACTGCAAGAAGTTATATACATTTTCTGCATACAACAATGAAATTAGCCCTTGCCCTTGTTCCATGTCACATAATGGTAAAAGGTAACGAGATTAGAGTTTGGAAAATAGAAGGGCAAAGAGGACCAGGAGGGGACATTTGAATAATTATTAATATATAATATTATAATAATAATAACAATAATGATGAGGTGTTCTAAACAGTGCTAGGACTAGTGCTAGAGGGTCCTGTGAGGAATCTGGGTGGATGGGTATAGGCTAAGGAGGGGTTAGTGCGGGGGTGGAGGTTCCGTAGATTGGTTTCTTCCATCTACAGCCCTAACTGGCTTTCTACGTGAAGGACCTGTAACACCAACCGGACCCACTCCACCTCTCATATATGCAGGTGCTGGGCTTGCTATGGGTTCTCTGATGGTCCCAGTACCGGTATTCCTAATTGGTGGAGGCAGTGGCTGCTGCAGTACCTATTTAATAACATTATTATCTAAAATTCGTATTTTATAAGTTCATTAATCAATATCGAAAGTAAATTAATAATCATTTTAGATTTTTTTAATGTATCTATATATATACTCGCTTTAAATAACCAGACATCTGAAACTACAATATATATTCTTCTAATCATTAATTACATATTGTTTACATCAGCACAATCTTTATTTTATTAATAAATAAATAAAACATTTTCGAAAATTAAATTCCAGAATTTCTATCCATATACTTAAGGAGGACTTACCAGTGGTTGGGGTAGTACAGTATGCATCAACGTTTGAACCATAGGTTGATTCTGCGACGTGATACTAGTAGAATTTGTAGATAATGCTTGAGTTTGCAGACCTGTTCCTACTACACTACCAGTTGCAGCTTGGACAATGTGCGATTGTTGTTGTGGCTGCACAGGCGGTGGCGTTACATGTTTACTTGATGTCTGATCTCGTTTTGTTTCTTGAGTTACATTTAATTTTTTCGTGGAAATCGTGGAAGCATTTGGTGTCTCAGGACTTGTCGTGGCAGTAGTTGCACTTGATATCGGGGTCTGTGCAATAGACAGTTGTTGCTGTAGCAAATCTGGCAATGTTTGCGAAAGCGTCCCAAGCGTAATTTCACGTACGAAGAGGCTTCTGTTTGCACTCTCGCGTTCAATATTTTGCAATTGCGAATCAGATAGTGTAGTTGCAATGCATCTGTACAAATTAAACAGATATATATATGAAATTCTGAAAAAAACTACAAAGAAAGTATAAAAAGAAAATAATTTATAGCAATTACCTAGGCAACAAAAACATTGAGTTCTGTGAGTTGGTAGATGAAACAACAGATGAGTTGGCCGCATTGGTTGCATTATTGTTACTACTTGTACTGCTTGCCACTACACTGGCCATAGTAGTAGAGTGACCACCACTTGTACCACCACCTCCACTAACTGTACCAATAACCTGTGTCTGTCTCCTGGGCAACCGTTCCAGCTGTTGCCTAGCAGCCTAAAATTTACATGATATTAACATTAAAGATATTATCATTAACACAATTATTATCCAAATAAAGCAATTACAAATTTTACATATTTTATATTTCACTAATCAATATTAACGTATTTTTGTGCGGTGAAAAATGTTTCCGCTCAAGTGCACAGATAATATATAGATATTTTTCTGACGTACTCTTATTTGATTGTTTACATCATTTTAACTTGTTTTGATTGACTCGAAGTACGCGTATTAACACATTGCACGTCGATTGCGCGTTAATAACAGATTCTACCCTATAATTTTGTACAAACGTTTTTTTATCAAACCAAATATTTTTGAAAATGTAGAAAATCATTGAAATATTTTATGTTGAATTTCTATTCTCAGTAAACAGCCAATATAACTTCTAAAACTCAAACATTCAGTAGATAAAATTTAGTCGCCCCACAATGTGTTCAGTTTGTTTGCAAAATTGATAACTAATATATTTCTGCGTACTTTTTAATCAATAAAAAATACGTGTTTCATATAAATATTTTATAATTTCAAAATATTTTAACTAATTAGCTTTTCTCTTAACACTTTCTCCTAACACTTCGCTCAACTAAGCATTTATATTGTTAAAAGTGACATTGATGTGACTTCACATTGTAAATTTTAGGCGGCAAAATACAAATAATTTGAAACCTTAAATTAGATATTTGTTTACATTGAAATTAAATGATAAAATGTAAATACACTACAACATTAATATATATTAGATACATTATTATATTTGTTGAGCGAAGTATCTGTTCAATAAAGTGTTAATTATTATTTTCGATTTATTTAATTATCACTATATTCAACTTAAATTAACTAATATGCTTATAAAAAGAAAGAAAAAAACAATTTTTATCGAACATAAAAACTATCGCAAAGATATATCACTAAAGAGACATAAGCTCAGGAAACTATACATACTCTAACTTGCTGCCGTTCCAATTGTAACTGCATTTGCAACTGTTGTAGCTGAGATGGTGCAGAAGAACTCTGTCCAGTTCCACTACCAGTTCGACGAACTCCCGACAGTTGCGATAACAATTCTGCTATTGGATCTATACCCTCTCGACTACTTGGACTTAAGCCCCCAGACGAACTGAAATGCATGTTGGACCTGAAGGTCCAATGACATTCCAATGAACATTATCTACAATAGGATGACAATGTGCCTTAACACTGAAAGATTATTAAGCCTTAGTGATAAAGGTCACGAAAATTCCTACAAAAGTACTTTCATCGTTTATAGTCTTACGTTGAAATAGGGTTCCCAACAGGACACTTTTACCATTATATTCGTATTATAAAATCTTTCTTAAAAAACATTTTTATTATTGTTGTTAAAAATCTACGAAATTTATTTTATTGTATTGGAACACGTTCTAGTATCTTTGAACATAAACCTTTGAAATATAGACAAAATATAAACTTTAGATAGGATAGTAAACAGTATCGTTATACAAGAGAAAATTATTTCGACCATAGATAATTGGACGTTCTATTCATAAATAAAAAAGATTTCACAACCACTAAAGGTTAATAGTATCATATTTTATGAAAAATCATGCTGATAGAGGAGAAACATAATGCAGAAAGATGTTCTCCTGTTCACAAATCTTAAGTGTTAAAAATAATTCAACAATTGTATAATCATCCCTTATTATTAAAGACGGTATTTTTGTATACCTGCGCGGACGTTGCCCTCCTACACCTCTAGTTGGGTGTGGTATTCGTCTAACTCCATGTCGATTTGTAGCTGGCTCATCCAAAAGAGAAATGAGATCTCTTGGCCCACTACGATGTTCTAATGTCAAATGACCAGCAAAATCATCTGTTACATTATTTGGATCACCACCTGGTAAGGCTGCACAAACTGGACAAACCTAAGACACAGAATATATCAAAGATATTAAAAGAATAGTCTTAAAACAATCTTATTGTTTCTACAGTACAAAATATTTTTATTATAAAAAATCAATATTTCTTAAAATATACGCACAATTTCAAATGAAGCGTCTGAATGATCTGCAGCAACGTGTTCTTGCAAAGTAGCTTCTGTAAAACCCATTCTTGTGCAATAAGGACAAGTTAAAGATTGAGGTTGCTCTACACTGACACCTTCCCCACCGTAATATAAGTCTGCAAAATAATAATTATATTAAAATGCAGTCACTATTTATTTTACTATTTATTATATAAAAAATTAGTCACTAACCAAAATCAGATCTTGTAAGAATGCACTGCATAGGATGATCGGTAAGGTGGCGTGTAGTACTTGCACCACCTTCATAGCAGGTAGCACATAAATCATAATCGTAGCATACGAGGCACTTATATCTGCGACCCCGAAAATTACCCTTTAAGCAGGAGTCACAGCTTACCCCTGTAATGAAATTAATACAAAATTAAAAATATTTATATTTATAAAAAAGAAATATAAAAAAGAACATATGCAAATATAAATATAAATACTAATTATGCAATTACTCTTTAGAACTTTAATTTTTCTATGCATCATGATATACTATAAAAAGTAAATAGATACATATATACATATATATAATAGATACGATATAAAAAAGACATGATAATATCAATGTTATTTATATATCATGTATATGTGCATCTATACAAGAACATCTTATTATGCAAAAGTTATTATGATCCAAATCTTCATACTAAGAACATCAAAGTCAAAATTTTATTCAAAGTCATTATCTACAAAAATTACGTTAGTAAATGTAAATAAGTATATATACTTATATATATGTATAACTTATATATATATATATATAAGTAAATTATTCAATATATTTGTAACAAATATTATGTCATTGAGACACGATTAACAAAGACCATTAACAAAACTTCTCTAAGCTAGTATCAATAGATAAAAGATCTAACATATAGATAAATGTCGGAAAAAAGAAGAAATAATGTCAATATGTTTGAAAAGAGTAAAATTATCTGTCTTCAAGAATGAATGAGGGGATGAGCGAGGGGATAAAAGAGACTAAGAATAAAAACTGATCTGAAAGTAATCAGTTGGTAATACATTCTGACAACTTATCATTTGTCATTAAGCATCAATTAATGATCGTTTTAAATTGGAAAACATGAATAATATTGCCCATATTAAAAAGAATACGATTTAATAGGTAAAAAAGTGTAATTTAAATTGGCAAAAATTCGAGTGAATTTTCGTGTCAGTGCTGCCATCTGGCACTGACATTAGGACGATCCGTCTTGAGCTCAAAGAGAAACGTTTCAGAGAAACATTTAACATGAAAAAAAATCATCTTATTATCCCTGAATGCGATATAAATTCATCATGAATATTTATTATGCCATCAGATATGAAAATCTTGTCTACTATTATTATATTAGATTGGATGCACGAGGAGGACCAAGCTGACTTGCTAGTCAGAAGGTAGCACACACGTACATACCTTCATGTCGACTCATTTTCCGTTTAAAATTTCATATACGTCGACAGCGCGGGGTTTCGCGATCGCACGACTTATAAAACACGATCACCGGTCGCCACTACGTCAGCTCGTTACGTCGTTCAGTTCGTTAAATGCGACGAGGAAAACATCAATCGTCAAACAAAAATTTTTCGTTAGAATTTCCAGCGTAAAACCTAACCCAACTAGGCTACCGTGACGTCACACTAGCCTACGCTCCCGGAGAACATTACGGGCACGGCCTCTCTTTCTGCACATGCGGCGTTGCCACGATTAATGTTATCAGCGCGCGAAAAATACAATTTAAAATAATGATATATTCTCTAAAAATAATAATTACAAATTTTTACAATATTTACTAAACAATATTGCAATAATATTCTTATCTTTTATAAATTCTCTATATTTATAATTACCATTGTTTAAATTCATTACTTTTCAAATTATAGATAGTGATATCATCGCGAAAAAAATTGACCAATCGCTAGTTAAAGAATTTCATAAACTTTATTCAAATGATTTTGATGTCAAAATTAATATATACTATATATATACACGCATATATATATTTATATAATTAATCTTTTATTAAAACTGTGTGTAAATTGTAATTATAATAAATTAAGTTTATTATAACCTAAAAAAAATAATTAAATTAATCGTTTGTATTATTTTGGTTTCTTATTCTAACGAATGAAATGATGCTTCGTGTCGGCCTTTAAGATGTTACTCCAATATAATGTAATCCCAAATTATCTTCTCGAATGGTCGTCTAGTATTTTATTCTATGTCGAGAACCGGCAATCTAGCAATCTCACGACATTTTCCGAAAGTCAGGTTCGTTCTTATTCGTATTCTTTCGTAGTCGATCGCTGAATCCCGGACCATTCTCGCGAATCGTTGAATTTATGCACTTGTTGTGAACAATGGCAACAGTATTGGGACGTGTTATCGTTTACGGTGGAAAGGGTGCACTGGGTTCTGTTTGTGTTTCCCAATTTAAATCAAAGAATTGGGTAAGCATACAAATATTTCAATACAATATTATAATTCGAAAAAAAAATAAAATAATAAAAAAGTAAATAAATCATAAAGTAATCAGAAGTATATTAAACATATTTCGAATAATTTCAAATAAAAGATAAAAAATAATGTAATTAATATTATCTTTTACTTTTTCTTTTTCTTTTTCTTTTTCTTTTTCTTTTTCTTTTTATGAAAATGTTTAAATGTATAGGAGTTTAATAAGTAATTTGTTTTTGATTTTGCCAAATATTAATCGAAATCTTGATTTAAACTGATTTATTGATAAGAAAACAATTTCGCGGGAAATTGAAATTTTATTAACATATCTAAATAATACCGTAAGAAAAAGAATTTCAATGATTTCATTTTTTTTCCTCTGAAGTATTTGTTATTTTCCACTTCTTTTTTTTATATATATATATATATATATATATATATATAATAAGTTTATGGCACGTAACATACTACTTATAAAAACATGAAGGAAAGTTACGCAAGGACACAGAATTATGTTAAAGGATAACCTTGTTTACGGAGGCTAATATACATTTCCTTTTCACGGAGAATGACTTGTTGCAATATTGTAATAAAAAAAATATTCGAAAGCTTATAAAAGACATCGTTAAATTTTATTTCCAAGGATATCATTTAATGAATTATGTTTTCTATAGATAAATATAATATTAAAGAAACACTTGCGAAATAAATAATCACTTTTCTAATTGTAGACATTTATTTATTAATCAAATTTATTCTCGAAATTCTAAAACATTTGAAGTAAGCTTTGAAAATTCTTTTTTTTTTTATGATATCCTTTTTCTAATGGATGAAACTTACGTATATTGATAAGATACGCAACACGTACCTGTGCACGTTATCTTATAGATCGGAACAATTCCTTTCGTGTAAATGTATATGTATAAGACAGTATATTTTCCATATGTTTTATATTTTATATATAATATTTAATATTATTACTTAACAATAATTATATTATTTATAATATAAAATACTATTTAAATATATACTAATATATGTTAATAACAATTGTTATAATTTGTTTAAATAAAATAAATTAGAACCATCTTATTTTTTGCTATTTACCTGATTTTTTTGTATTTAATTTATTTTATATTAAATTGTTTAATTATAAAAAATATAAAAATATATAATAAATAAATAATAAAATTTTTCAGTGGGTTGGATCTATTGATATGAAACCGAATGAAGATGCAGATGCTAACATTGTTCTAAAAGCTACTAGAAACTGGGAGGAGCAGGTGAATTTAAAAAAAATCTAATTTTAATTTTATTATTAATTATTTATATGAAATAATGATATTAATATAGTTTCCATATATATTATTTAGGAAAGTGATATCCTATCAGAACTGAAAAAGATTTTGAATGAAGAAAAAGTGGATGGGGTAATTTGCGTAGCCGGTGGATGGGCTGGAGGAAATGCTTCTAGTTCAGATTTTATCAAAAATAATGATCTTATGTGGAAACAAAGTGTTTGGAGCTCAGCTATTGCGGCTGAAATTGCATCCCATTATTTGAAGACAGGAGGATTTCTTGCATTGACTGGTGCTAAAGCTGCATTAGAAGGAACCCCAGGTTTTTAAAGAATCCTTTAAATAGAATTCCTGCTGATCTTTTTAACAAATAACTGAGAAAATCCCATTATGTAAATATTTAGGTATGATTGGTTACGGGATGGCTAAGGCAGCAGTCCATCAATTGACCAAATCCTTAGCTTCTAAGGATAGTGGTTTACCTGAAGATTCTATTGTTTCCGCTATTTTACCTGTTACTTTGGACACTCCAATGAATAGAAAGTGGATGCCTAAGGCTGACAAAAGTACATGGACACCTCTTGAATTTGTATCAGAGTATGTATAACATATATAATAAAAATATTGTAACATGTACATATTTTATATATATTAATACATTAATAAATATATTTTTTTATCATTAATAGCTTGTTTTGGAAATGGTCTCAAAATAAAGATCGTCCTGCCAATGGTAGTCTTCTTCAGCTGATTACTAAAGACAACAAGACAACATTGGTAGAATCTTAAAAATAAAAATGAGATTCTGGAAAAAGATTAATGGGAACAAAAATCTCTGAAAGCATTTAAGACAATAAATAATTAATCATTATAAAAAATAAAAAATATTCTATATCTCGACATAATTTCTGTGAATATCCAAGTATATTATATTGTTAGAATATATTGTTAAATGTTGTCTGTTTCATTAATATTTCTTTTAATTTCTACATAGTTTTACTCCTATAACCATTCCACAATGATAAAATTATTTTTATTTGTACAGACAAATATTATTGTAAATAATTATAATTCTTATTATACATATGTTTAATGATTAAAATGCATTCCTATATAAAGATCGTGACTGTATTATCCTTTCTCTTTCACTCTTATTTGTGGTATATTAATTTAAATAAGCCGGAAATAAGTATTATTCTTTTTAAAAATATAGTACTATTATTTTTTTATTTGTTTTCGATGAAAAATGTAAATATTACTGTATTGATTTTTAAATAATAAATAAAATTCTAGCATACGTAGCTATTTTTCGCCAGACTAAATAAGCGCCTGGATAGCTCAGTCGGTAGAGCATCAGACTTTTAATCTGAGGGTCCAGGGTTCGAGTCCCTGTTCGGGCGAATTTTTTTTTCTCGTTACATAAATATGTTTTCCAATGAAATGAATAGAATTTTCTTTTCTTTTATTTTTAAAAATATTTTTATACCTTATTAAAATTATTAATATTTTCAAATATCTTTTCTTTCACATGAGAGTTTAATTAACATTTAATAAAACAATTGAACAGTAAATTTTTTTATACAAAAAATATACATATGTGAAATAAATCTTACGAAGTACAAATCTTCACTTATATTAATTTATTACGATTTTCTTAAATAAAATTTTTTTTATCAATTTTAAATTTAATAACTTAAAAAAAACAAATTGTACTTAATTTAAATGATAAAATACAATGTTGTGTCTTAAACAATTTAATAAAAACTATTATTATAACATACGCATAATCTTTAATAAAATAAATAATATATATATTTTCCATAAAAAAGAAAACTTTTTCCTCGTAATAATCAAGTAAATTGGTTACATATTTCAAAACAAGATTTCTCTCTCTCTCCTATTAATGTATTAAGATAATTTAATGAGCAATACATAGGTGAATATTGAATATTATAATATTTTTATTATTATTATTTACATGAAAACAGTTTCCATTAATAATGCACTAGCAAGTATACATAGAATTACTTATTTGTTTGTAGGAGGTCATCTAACATCTTCTTTTCAGCTGAAAAGAGAAAAATAAATACAGTTAATAATATCAATATATCAAGTATAGATTATACACAAATTGTATGTTAGAAAGCACTTTTTAAAATGACAATTTATTTTGTTCTAATAAAATTATACATTTTTAAATATAAATCATTATAATTAGTTATGTAAAATAATAAAGAAAAATTACCTTCTAATTTTATCGCTCTTTCAACTGCTTCTCTTGCTTCTCGTGCTGGTCTCTCTCTTTCTTCTTTCTCTCTACGAGCATTTTCTATTTTACTAAATTTACGTTGAAAATAAGCTCCATATAATATACCCACAGTAAGAAATGTCCATCGTGAAAACTGAATATAACATTAAATTCACAGATATTAAAACTCTTCTTTTATTCAATATATATTTAAATATATAAGGTTGTATATTATACAAATAAATTGTTAAAAAAATTCAGATAAGATTAAGATCAATGCAATAGTAATCCCTTTAAGATATATATTTTTTTTTTTAGATGAATCTATTTTATTAACAAAATATGAGATTATTCTTTATATCTTCTACTTGTTCATAATTAATTGTTATTTACAATGAAAAACATATAGATGTCAATTAGAAAGAGATAAATTCAAATCGATATTGCATAGAACTATTAAAAACAATTATATAAAGGTTAGAAAACAAATGACGTATGAATTTCGAACTAACTGTAAACAATGAAGTATTAATTTCAAATAATAATGTATTGTTGTTTAATTTTTCAATCATAAAATAAAAGTTATATAATAAAATACAATTTTGGAATGGAAATTAATTTTATCAATTAATACGTAATAAGAAAATAAATTGTAATATGTTACTATATTAAGATATATATTTATTAATCGCATACAATGTATGTTAACAGAGCATATTAATATTATTTTCATATACCTTTATTAAAGGAGATACCCGAACGGGTCTTGGATTAAGTTCCACAGAGGACGACATTTTGTTACTGACGTCTGTCTTACAATATTTCTGTACTATCCTCGAATACTTCCTACTCTATCAGCAAGTAACTACTAGTAATATTAAACCATTCCTATGTAACCGCGTAAATATCCAACCATTGCTAATATTTACAAATCTAATGCTTTGAAGCGGAAGCACAGAAGCACACCATCAGAAAGTTACTAGATTTTAACTTATCGTTGACCTCAGCAGTAATCGATACTAAACTATTGGTTACAATGGACTTTTTTTTGTCTGGTTTAATTATAAATTAATTAATATCAGATAAGTACTTGTATTTAGAGTTTTATTATCATTAATTATTTCTTATATTTTCGGTTAGAACGTTGTATCTTGTTAAAGTACATCTTGTAAGTATAAAAACAAATAAAAAGTTATCTCTACTAATTTCGATGAACTTTCAATTCAAATATCAGTGATACCAACAATTAAACTTTTAATTGTATCCTATTTTAGCTTATATTTTTGTGATATACATTTTGTCAATAATACGAACAATTTTAATGGAATGTGAAAAAAATTGATTTATTGAATAAAATATTTGTATGAGAGACTATATATACTTTAGAAATATTAGTCTATGTATCATTTGATATTACTTATAAATACGAAGTATATTATACACTAAAAAGATTCTCCTAAATGAAATATTGATATTCCTTGACCATGTGACCATTAATCGAATAAATATTTCTTATTAACAAATCAGATCAGTAAAAAATAAAAACCCTACAGTTCCCTGCGTGAAAACTAACAGTAAATACTTTTGTAGTAGATGTTTATTTCAATTTCAATAGTTCTTAGATTTAAATTAAACATTAAGAGTATTTGATAAAATAATGTATAGAAAAGATGATTGATTGAAAGTTCTAATAATATTATCTATATTTTTGTGATTTATTTCTATTTAGAAATTTAATTGTTTGGTTATAGTGCGTTTATTTATTAAATATGTCACCAATACAGGAAAATTTAAGAGATTCGAGCGGAGATTCCGGTACGTACTTCAATTTTAAGAATTTGATTAGAACTAATAAATAAAATTTATGTTTACACAATAATTGTTGATATAAATAAATATGTTCTATATGTTAATTTATTGATATATAATACTAAATCTGTTCTCAGATTATTATTTTGCATATACGTTTACTTTTATAACTTACTAAAATAAAATATTACTGTATAATGAACACTACTGAATATAATTGTAATTGTTGTAATAGGATCAGATTCCGACAACGCTTCTGTATCATCAAGATCAAGTGTAAGGTCAGCTAGATCCGATGCAAGTAGAAGGTCAGATGTAAGCAAGAGATCGGATGAAAGTAGAAGGTCAGATGTGAGCAGGAGGTCGGATGCAAGTAGAAAATCTAATGCAAGTAGAAAGTCGGATGTGAGTATAAGATCTGATGCGAGTAAGAGATCAGATAGAAGTAGAAGATCAGATGTAAGCAGAAAATCAGATGATAGCAGGAAATCAGATGCAAGCAGAAAATCAGATGAAAGCAGAAAGTCAGATGGAAGCAGAAAATCAGATGCAAGCAGAAAATCAGATGGAAGTAGAAAATCAGATGGAAGCAGAAARTCAGATGGAAGTAGAAAATCAGACGGAAGCAGAAAATCAGATGGAAGTAGAAAATCAGACGGAAGCAGAAAATCAGATGGAAGTAGAAAATCAGAAGGAAGCAGAAAGTCTGAAGAAAGTAGAAAATCGGAAGAAAGTAGAAAGTCTGATGAAGAAAATGAGTCGAAGATGTTAGATTCGAGAAAGTCTCAAAGCCCTAAGGAAGATAGAAGTGATAATGAATCTGATAAATCTTTTATTGCAGCTGGTCAGTAAAACACATATTTATGTTAAATGTATATGTTTCTATTTGTCATATTGATTTATCTCTCTTGTCTTTTTTAGGTAACGAAGAAAGTGCAAAATCTGATGACAGTGATTTAGAAGAATCTAAAAAACGCAAATCTAATGAATCAGAAGAAACAAAAACTACGAAAAAGCATAAAGTTGTAATAGGTTCAGATTCTGAAAATGAAGATGTAGAAAAAGATAAAGATGATGGCGTAGCTCCAACAGCAGATGCTTTGTTTGGTGATGCAAGTGATATTAGTACAGATGATGAGAAAGAAAAAAGAGAAACTGGAAATAAAGAAAAACGTGATAGTCGAAGTAGAAGTCGAAGTAAAAGCCGTAGCCGAAGTAGGAGTAGAAGTCTTAGCAGAGGAAGATCTGATAGTGGTGGGGAAGGACCAAGTCATCAACCTGTTATCGAAGATGTATGATTACAAACTTATTTCATTGAATATTCTTTACGATCACAGACATATATATATACTATGTAATATTATTTTGTAATTGTCATAAGCTATATTTTATACATTCTTATTGCAGGATGAGAAAGATAAAGAAGATGAACCAGAACCACCACCAGAAACGAGGATCGATGTGGAAATTCCTAAAATATCAACAGATTTAGGAAGAGAAATACATTTTGTCAAGCTTCCTAATTTCTTATCAGTAGAAACTAGACCATTTGATCATGACACTTATGAAGATGAGATTGACGAGGAAGAAACTTTAGATGAGGAAGGTAGAGCACGATTAAAACTCAAAGTTGAAAATACAATAAGATGGAAAGAAGTATTCAATGATAGTGGAAGAGTTGCGCATGAAAGTAATGCTAGGTTTGTTAAATGGTCAGATGGCAGTATGTCATTGCATTTGGGGTCTGAAATATTTGATGTATATAAGCAGCCCCTACAAGGTGATCATAATCACCTTTACATTCGACAAGGTACTGGCCTACAAGGACAAGCAGTGTTTAGGACAAAATTAACTTTCCGTCCTCATTCAACTGAGTCCTTTACACATAGAAAAATGACTATGTCCTTGGCAGACAGATCACAAAAAACGTCTGGTATTAAAGTTCTTTCTCAAGTGGGAATGAATCCAGATCAAAATAGATATGAAATGATTAAGGTTAGGATAAAATGTTTTCATTTTTATTTTTTATGTTAATTTATCGTTAATTTTGTTTTATATATCTCGATATAAATAATAAATAATTAATTATAAATTTCACACAGAAAGAAGAGGAGAAATTAAGAATGGCCATGCGTGTTCAGAGTAAGACGAAAAAATCTGCCAGTGGAGGTCGAAGCACATTAAGAGCTTCGACCGGATATGGTGTCGATGCTTATCACGATGACGCTTCTGAAGATGAAGGGGCTATTTCACTTGCAGCTATTAAAAATAAATATAAAAAGGGAGCTGCTGCTACTTCTAAAGGTATATATCTTTTTAATATATTTTGTGCATTATATTACAATGTGTGTATATTTTAATAAATATTGTAATTTTTTCTTTTGCTAGCTGCATCGAATATTTATTCTTCCGACGAAGAAGGTTCGGACTTTGAAACTATGAGGCCGAAGAAAAATATTAAAGGGAAAGTACTTAAAGATTCTGATGATGAATCTAATTCCGAGAGTGCTTCAGTAAGCGGTGGAGAAGATGATAATCAAGCTGATAATACTAGCGACTAAATGAATTTTGTTATTATTGGCAAATATTAAAATAATGTTATACACACATGTATATTTAATAACTATTAATTCAAATTCTCTTGACAAATTCAATATTATTAGTTTCACTATTTTACAGCTTTTATAATTCCTTTTCTATTATCATGAACACATTATTAATGGAATACATGAATCAGCATGTTTTAATCTTTTAAATGTGGAACGTAAGTAAGTTAGCTATTTTACATTTTTTAAATCTACATTTGTCTACACAGCAGGAAAATTTTATATGCGTTAAACTATTACTGTGTGTAAATAATATATATTAAATTAATAGTATTTCTTTTTTATTTGCTTTATAGATCGTTAATGATTCAAATAATTATTTAAAAATAATCTATTGATCTGAATAGTTTTCTGAAAGTTTTTTTGTAAATAAATTTTCAAGTGTACATATAGATAAGTGATATTGAGAGTATGGTAATAATGACAATTACGATAGTGATAATAAACAGTTTTGTTTAGTTATGAAACATTTGCATAATTTAAAAAAATGGAATTTATAATATATATATATATTCTTCTTAAATGTATGAGAACTGAAATAAGATTAATTTAAAAGTATACCATCAACAATGTGTGAAAATATTAAACATCAGATAAACAGATAAGATTAATATGAAAATATCGATAATGACTATTAAGTACTTATTTCTTATCTTTACTCGATAGATGGAGCAGAGTCCTGTATTAAAAGAACCTGTCTAACTTAGGGTTTACAATCTAGAGTATTGACTTCCCTTTCCAACAGTTTAATGTACGAAGATAAGCTCCGCGAAACTTTAATTCTAGACAGTGCTCGACAGTTAGGAAAATGGCGTTCCCCTGGGTGGTAATTTCATTTGCGTTTTCTTTGCTATTGACTCCGTTCCTTATGTTTTTACTTGCTATTATATTTCTGGCATCAATCGGCAAATCACTCGGTGTTCGAAGAATATATATAAAACTATTATTAGCACTTTTTGAGGTAAGTCAACTAGTAAAAATAGAGGAATCATGTTTTAAATAGTAAGTTTCTAACGTGAGCCAATTTGAATCTTGAAACTTGACTAATTTTATATCGAGTTTTATGTTAACAATATCGAACTACTACAGTGTTCGATCAAAGATAATTATCTTATTATGTCACGCGACTCTTTTTTTTTTCTTACTAAGGTTATGTTTGTTTTTTTGTCTCTCATGATTCTTCAGCAAGAAATCATGCAATACGTATGGAAGCGGGTTTTTCTCTTTTCGTTAACCTTGAATATAAATAAATTTAATGATACTCTCCCATAATAATGATGTACATTCTTTCAAGTGATCTTAGATATAACGTCATGTTTAACCTAAAAATAATTATAACATGATTTATACATTTACCTCAATTAAAAGAATTTCAAACATACACTGTGTATTAATATTAAAATATTTTTAAAAATATTATTTATTTAGATAATACATCGATATATTTAAATGTTACAATTTTATTTATATCTAAATCAATCAAATCTGCATCATGAACATATAATTTAATATTGTTTTAAATATCGCGCTATTTAACTGTTAAAATACAATTAATTATATTATAAAGATAAATGTTGAAAATAATTTAATTATGATAATTTGAAGAGCTAATAAAGTATTCATATTATTGTTAATGGATGCACTACATTTTAGTTAAAAATGCATTAGTTTATATTTTTACGAGTATATAATTAATAATTTTTGTTTAATTAATTTTTTATAAATGATAATTCTTTACCTTCAATTATCACCGTTTGTAAAAATATTTTGCACGCAATCATGTCTATATGTAATTTCATTTGCATATCTAAATGTTTCGCAGTTTATACTGATTGCAAGAAAAACTTTTTTAGAAAACGTACATAAAATTTAACATATCGAAAAATTTATGATCTAAAATAATAAATTGATTTTAATTATATCGAAATAATCACACATTAAATATCTTATTATTTTTAATTTAATAATAATCATGTCTTTTATTATCTTGATATGTAATACTGTTATCACACACGCACACACAGTACTACTAGTACTGTTTAATTAATTCTTGACTAACGCTTATCATCTGTATTTTTTATTTTCTCTAACAAATACTCCATATATTAGTGCTTTTGTTTTTTAAAATCTTATTTTAAATTGCATATATATTAATAAACAAGAAATCGTTTGGTTTAGTCATTTTCTTATTCTAGTAAGTTTCGATATCTCTTATGAAATCACATCGCGTGTTTCAACTATTGAAAGATTTATTTTTTATTCGTAATGATAGACTTTGATTTCAAGAAGACGCGATTACCTTGAATATTTATTTAAGTTAACTTTGTTTTTTTCTTTATCCATTTGGTAGACATTTATTTATGATATATAAAAGAAAGAAAAAATATATTTCAATAATAAAAAATGCAGAATACCATTTGGTTAGTTTGATTTAAATAACAAATACATTTACTTATAGTTAAATGTTATATTCGTATTTGGAGAAATATTTACATGTATTTTACCAATGTAAATAGGCACATTGATTGAATTGTAAAAACAATGTTTGTTTATAGGAAAACAGTTCTATACAAAATTTGTTGTTGGTAAAGAACTACGTATATATGTATATAAGTATACTAAATTTATATACTTATAATTAATATACTCCACTGAAGCATGTAAAAGGAACGCGCTGTTTTTAAAAAGAGATGACTAAATGGCAATGTCCAATTTTTAAGCGGGACCTAATCGTCTTTTATTAATTGTCTCCTTTTTTAAGATGAATTATAATAATATTCTAATGATAAATAATAAGAGTAAAGAAAAGAAAAGAAAAGGAAAAAAAAATAAAGGGATAAAAAGTGATAAAGCTTGTCTCAAGGCTAATTTCTTCTTTTTTTTTCTTTTTTTCTTTTTTTTCTTGTTTTTTTTTAATCTATTGATAAGCATTATTGTGCCAATCAACTGAGTATGTTTATAAGATAATGATACAAATTACAAAAATTTGGTTGTTTATTTCTTTCATGGAAAATGATAATATGTAGATTGATTAAATTTCATTTATTACACGCCTTAGAGAATTTGTATTTTTGATTCACGCTTCAAAGTAAAATCCAATGTATCATATTTCATAGTTTACCTATCTGCATTACCACGTGATGAACAAAGGTTAATTTGAAATATAACGGTAATACTGTTCGTGGGTTTATTTAAATGGCTATAGCTTATACCGTATAGGTGTGCAAACATGATTTTCCTTTGGTGTTAAATCACATAGAGAAGTTTGATAAAAAAAAACTAAATAAGAAAATTAGCAAATACTTTTTTTCAAATCGTAATTAAATTTTTGTTCCGATTATTATAATATTTATTTTATTTATTAATATCTATTTGTTGTTAGATACTTCGACTCCTTTTTACTTGTCTCTTTTTCACATTTTATTATTTTTATTAATATCTGATATAACAAATATACAAACAAATAATTATTGTTGTAATTGTGATTTCAGTTCGGTAGACAAAATATAGAAAAAGAAAGAAATAAAAATAATACCTCGGAGGAAGAAGATGAATATGAATCTATTTCAAGAAATATGAAGAAAAAATTGGACAAACATTCTGTGGACAAGGAATGTCAAATGCAAAATGGAGTTGTTAGTAATAATCAAGTCATAGCTAGATCAACTGATTTGATTTTATTACCAGAACCAGAGATGCAAAATAATAAGAATCATACAGATGAATATACAAATGAGAAAATTGAAGAAATTTCAAAGAATATAGATAGTAGTAAGGAGGTAAATTGCTTTCCTTTTTTATTATTATTATTATTATTATATTTACACGATAAACAATTAAAATAAAAAATAAGAGTTGCAATGTATAACATAAGAAAATATTTATATATATTTAGAATACTCTTATACGACGCAATTCTTTTGAAACTCTCAAAAAAGCATTTGAACCAGCGATTTGCTTAGATTACATCAGAGCCGGAGTAGAAGCCATTATCGAAGATGAAGTAACTTCACGTTTTGAAGCGGAAGAACTAAAGGTAAACTCTTTATCTTTTCTTTTCTTTTTTTAATATTTTCTTATACCTATACAAAATTAAAAATGATAATTCTCATATCTATGACCTATTGCATATCTATCATTTCCTTATATTTTCAGAATTGGAATCTTCTCACACGAACAAATAGGCATTACGAGTTTATATCTTGGAAATTAACAGTAATATGGATGTTTGGATTTTTTATGCGATATTGTTTTCTTCTACCTTTGAGAATACTTATCTGTTGCATAGGAGTAAGTTCAATATATTTAATATTTTCATTCCTTATAATATTTATGATAACATATAAAAGAAATAATGTATATATTTCAGAAAAAATTGATCTAAAATACTGTATATATTTTTAATCTAAGCAATATTATCGCTATTATTACAGGTATGAAATGATGACATTTCAATTGTGTATAAATTTATATAATGAAATTATAATTATGAATTCTCTTTCTCTTTTTCTCTATATTATTTTATTATAGATCGAGTATTAGATTTTTATATCAAAGTGTTCAATTTATACGATTGCATACATTATAATTTTTTAAACGTTTTTGCTATATGCATATCAAAGATTGAACTTCACTAATAATGAAGTTTCTTAGATACTATACTTTGTCCATGCAACATATTTCTTTGGATTCTTACCAAACAGATATTCAAAAGCGTTGGACAAATAACCAGACACTTCATATTATATTTAGATTCATGTTTCGATTTGGAGAAATGATCATAATAAACAATCTGGAGGTAGCTAAATCATACCTTCATTGTCAACATTTGTATCTTATGCATGCAAAGAAATTTTAATTAGGTAATATAACGTAATTAAATACATCGAATTGCAAATTTAAGAATAAATAGTAAATGTAATAATATAATCCAGAATATTGTCACTAAATATTTTCTTTATTAGTAATTAATATAAAATAATTGTTTTTTACTTATAATTTATGCATAAATGGCAACATATTATTATTATGATAATGAATAATTTGTCGTTGCCTATTTAGCATAATCATTATTTTTTTAACAAATTGTACAAGTTTGACTACTAGAAATTCCATTTGTGAGTACAAATCTTTTCAAGATATATCTAATTTACTTTGTCAAAGTCATTATAAATTCGTAAGTGTTACAGGTAACAGTATCCTGTAACTTTGCTTTACAGGTAGTATCTACACAGCAACTATTCAGAGGGATTCATCGTTTCTCAGGTGCAAAGCTTGTGGTTTACAGGTGATGTGGCTGACATTGTGCACAGCAGTAGTGGGCTACGTTCCAGAGGGTAGCTTCAAACGATGGCTGAACTACAAAGTCTCCATAATGTGCTTTGCCGTATTATCCAGTGCTTTATCTTCAGTCATTACATACCACCATCCAGAAAATCGACCAGTCAGAGGCATTTGTGTTGCTAATCACACGTCTCCTATTGATGTACTTGTACTTATGTGTGATAATTGCTATTCCTTGGTACGTTTAATCATTCATTATATGCTCATTTTATTTGTATAGACTTTTAGTTCATATAAATAATATATTAATAATATTTATTAAATTATGTATTGATCATATTGAATTCATTTAAAATTGTTTAGATACATATGTTAAGATACATTAGTTCTTTTGTAACAATTGTTTTATGTTTTTGTTCATTTACTTTGATAATTGATTTTTCTTTTTTAAATGTTATAATCAATTATTATAATATAATTAGTTTTATTATTAATTAATCTAACTAATAGATAGGTCAGAGGCATGGTGGATTCTTGGGTATTTTACAAAGAGCGCTTGCTCGTGCTTCTCCGCATATATGGTTTGAACGTTCCGAAGTTAAAGATAGAGAAGCAGTTACAAGAAGGTAAAACAATAATATATACATACTTCCATTACTTTTTATAATTTTTCTTATTATAATCTAATTAATTTTATGCTATGTTACATTATATTTAGATTAAAAGAACACGTATCAGATCCCACAAATCCACCAATATTAATCTTTCCTGAAGGAACATGTATTAATAACACTTCCGTTATGCAATTCAAAAAAGGTAGTTTTGAAGTAGGTGGGGTCATTTATCCCGTTGCGATCAAGGTAATGCATAAATTTATTTATATGTATGTGCGTGTACTCATAGCCATTCTTGGAAATGTTAAATATTTTTATCATGAATTTTCTTTTTTATATAGTACGATCCACGATTTGGTGATGCATTTTGGAATAGCAGTCGTTTTTCAATGTTACAATACTTGTATATGATGATGTCTAGTTGGGCTATAGTTTGCGAGGTTTGGTATTTACCTCCAATGTATAGAAATGAAGGGGAAACTGGCATCGATTTTGCGAATAGAGTAAAATCAGTTATAGCAAGACAAGGTGGACTTGTTGATTTACAATGGTAAAATAAAATTAAAATTACAATTAAAATAAGAATTAATTTTTAATTGTAGAAGAAAAAAATTATAGTTTACAGATAAAAATATATGTTTTTATTTTATTATCAGGGACGGTCAACTTAAAAGAATGAAACCAAAGAAAGAATGGAGGGAAAAACAACAAGAAGAATTCAGTAAACGCTTTAAAGTTGAATAAACATACATTCCTTCTAGTCACATCATTTCTTGCATAGCACGTGATAAACTTCATTGAATCAGATATTTTGTTATCTGCATTGTTGTTTCACCTACTTGTGTCATCTTTATGAATATTTATAACATCGTGCGCATAATTAATATTGTAAACGAACTTATTTGTATCTTCAAATATGGAATATTGCACTTTGGTTTACTGTATTGGATATGATATGTAGATTATCATCATAGAGCTTTATCAGAATACTAGTATCTCTAGAGTTGCTTGATATATATAATCTTCAATTACATCTGTTATATATATATA